ATAAAGTTTAGTTACATTATAATATTGTTATATTTGTTTGTTATATAAGATTTGATAGCAATAAATAAGATTTTAAAAAATTAAAATATATTTTTATTTAAGAAAAATACATTTTAGAAATAAGTATTTCTTTTGAACAAGAATTTATTATAATTACATTTAATAATTAATATTAATAAAAATAATTAATAATAATTAATAAAAAATTAATTCACAAACATGTTAATTCATTACTCTTTATCTTGTTTCTGTTTTTAGAATTTGGACGATCCTTGGGTAAAATTTGTAATAATGAACAATTTAATTGTTCTCATCAGCATTGGGTTGTTATTTGATAAACGTAAGTTTATATATCCTACTGTTATTGAAATTGTACGCTGTGCTCTTTATGTACATTTTATGCGCGTAATGTATAAAAATAACTTAATCGATTATTTGATATATTATATACACGCATTTCAATTGGGCTTTATTTGGATACCTTTTTTTTTATATAACTTGGATTACATCAAACAGCTTTTTAAAAAAAATTGAAACCTATATGTTTGTAATTTTAAAGTATTACATAAAGGAAAGACTTAAAAAACTTTTTAAATTTTACAAGAAATATGACGCTAATGTTGATAAGAATTGTAATTTATAATACAAATGATTTGTTTTTTTGACTGAGACCAAAGTATTTAAAACTTTTTTTTCTTATGTAATATTTGATAGTAGCATTTGTTAATCAATTTATCAATCAACTTGATATCTTAATATATTACACTTTTTTATTATATAATAAGAAATCCATAAACTTTAAAAATATTATAATTTATTTAAATATACACATTGATGAATTTATATATTTAACAAATTCACATGATTATCGAATATCATCTCGAATGCGATACCTTTATGTTTCAAAATTATTTTTATTTATTATGGTTTCAAAATGGCTTATTAACGTTTATTTTTAATATATAAATTTATGTAAATAAAGTGTATAAACTATGTAAATTTATGTTGGTATGTAAAGTGTTATGATGTATGTGATATTTATAAACAATATGTGTACTTATGTCATAAATATAATGCAATTTTTTTTATTAAAATATATATTTAATTTTATATATAAATTTAATAGCAAAAAAATTAAAACATATTTAGACATTAGATGTATTTTATCTGCTTAAGGAATAAGATATTCAATTGTTGTCAATGTCTTTATTTTTGTGTTAGAAATTATAAGTATATTTGTATCTTAAAATATTTCAAAGAATTAATTATTCAAAGGATTTTTGATTTTGGAATATTCTGTACATAAAATTTATGTAGCAAAAATGTTACATATATTTAATTATATATTTTTAATAAAAAAGTACATAATGGGAAACAAATAATGCAAGTCTGTGTTATAAAATAGAAGTATTATTTTTATAGCAAATAAATAAAATAAAAACTTAAGAAGATACTTTGTTTTAAAAAAAAAATGTTTAATGTATAAAAATTTTAATGTATAAACTACAAAAGAAGTTGTAAATATATAAATAATATTTTACATACATTCGTTGTTTATTTGTCGTTTGTTTGCGAAATATATTTTCTATAGTATAAGCATAGGAAACGTTTGTTTTTTACATCAGTATGTCGTCAGCAATAAATGTGACAACTAGTATATGTTAATACAATTCACAGGAAAATAAACATGCACACTAACAAATTTCAGATAATGCAGATGTATATTTTCATCGTTAGGGAAACAAACTTTTTAAATCACATTGTAACTTGTTATAGTATAAAATACATTTGTAAACGCAATTAATAACATCCTAACTCTGTATGTAATAAAAAAACAAATATAAGTTATTAAACAATTATTGAAATTATTTGAACTAAAAAGGTATGCGTATATACTACTACTTTCTGTAATATGCTGTAATATGTGTGTGTGTGTGTGTGTGTGTGTGTGTGTGTGTGTGTGTGTGTGTGTGTGTGTGTGTGTGTGTGTCCTAAATATTATATTCGCATATAAAATTTTCTATTTAGATATTACGTTAGATATTATCTATCTTCCTTTGTAAACATGCATTAAGATAGCATTATTGTATTTTTGAGTTTTGCAAACGCTTGAAATTATTACAAGATACGAGGTACGTCAAATATATTATAAAATTTTTATAATTATTTTTATGAAAGTGCATCCACAAAGACATCCCATAATCAAAACGTTTATAAAATACGCTATAATAATACAATATCGTTTGCGTTGTAATACAAGTAAAACATGTAAGTAGCACTTTAAAGTATGTATTCATAAATGCAACTTAACATATGTAAAGACTTCAAAAACAGTTAAGTAAGATTATTTGCATTTTCCGGAACAAGTATAGCAAGAATTACAACAAATACATACGTTAAAATTTAATAATGACAAGCATCCTCTTCCACTTCCTTATTTCACGCAACAATATTATCTTAGCAACTATCTTACTTAAGCATAATATAAATATTATCAGAAGACATCGCGTAAAATAAGGATAAAATGTAATAGTATCTTGTATATCCACAATGCACATTATTTAATATCTTAGTACATTATTAGATAATGTACTACTTAGTACATTATTTAATATCGTGTTTTACATATAAAGCTTCTTGAGTTATCCTGTAATATGTTTATGAAATCATGGCAAAAATCCCTCCTAATGGTCCACTTATCTGAAATTCAAAATAAAATACATTTAATTTATTAATTACAGATTTAAAAGAAAAAAGAGAAATTAATTGTTTTTTTATAATTTATTTATTTTAACACGGTTTTCTAAATGTAAGATATATATGTACGACATAAATAATTACAAAATCAAATTCCTTGTTTTTTGTATATACATTCTATTTTTTCATTTTAATAATTATATATTATTTTTTATATCTTTTAATCTTTGGTCATGACAGTTTATAAAAAAATATTTCAAAAAATTTTCATGAATCGCTTTATGTAAATATACATAAATATGTCATAAATTATTTCGTATAAAATAGACATAATAGATAATTTATTTTATAATTATATAATATCAAAACTTAAAAATAAAAGGCATTGAATTATTTTGGTAAACTCATAAATATTGTTTTTTTTCTTCATATTTTAAGATTATAATTAGATAATAATAAATTCTCAATTTGAATTAAAAGTCATTTCTTTGAAATACGCACCTACGAAAATTGTCTTATGTATCGCTACTTGATATTTTCGTTTTGCCATTACTCGTTTTAGTTCCCGTTGAAGATGTTCGTCCAGCAGAACTACCAACTGCCGCTTCTTCCTCTTCATTGCTTTCGATGCTTCTCTGTTGCTCTAATACAGGCATCTCCAAAGAATCCGATGAAATGCGTCTTCCATTGCCACCGTATTGCTCGGCAGTTTCTTGCATTTCCTTTGCGTCTTTTATATTATTCAACGAATCCGAGCTCAGAGATGGAAGGTCCAAGGTCGTTTTCATCTCTAAAGAGTCCGAGCTTCGACACAATGGATGATATTTTTTTTCTGCATCTTCTAATTCTAAGGAATCTGTACTAGTTTCCATGATATTGCTTTCTTTCTGTAACGCTTGCGCTTCTTCCGTTTCTTCTGGAAGAGTTTCTGGAATTGGCTGAGCGATAACTCTTTCGGCATCGGTAATCTCGATCTGTGAAATATCCTCCGTCGTATCATCCTGCCGATCAAACTTTTCCACGTTGGATTGAGCGATACGTATTATCTCATCAATCTCCTTTATCCTCTTTTCGTAATCGTCCGATCCGGAAGTGCTAGGATTGAACGAGCCAGTCGCGCTCCGTTCCGCTTCCGTTCTCGAGCGTGGCAAATTTTCCATTTTGTATTTATTCTCCGGACTTTCGTGTTCCAGTAGCTCTTCCTCTTCACGAGCTCGCAGTTCCATCAGATGAGCCTCTCTGCAAGCTTTCTCCAACCCTTCGAAGTCCTTTAGCGAAGACAAAGAGACATCGTCACCATGACCTGAACGAGTTATATATCTTCTCGGAAGACTACCATTATTGCTATTGGAATCCTGCGATCCGCATTGCAATCTCCGCGAATTCTCGGCTGCTACGGTGCTTTCTAGGTGTTCAAACTCCTGCAATGAAGTCAACGATAGGGTATCATGATCCGTAGGTTTGCTGAAATATTTTTTCCCCAGAACATCATAGTCCGGTGTACTACCAAAGCTACCGCGCATACTTCCAACGCTCCCTATAGATTCTTTGTGACTGCCTAAACTGCCGAGTCTACTGCTGCCGGCTTCAAAATCTGTGATCTCTTCCTCCTTGATGTCTTCCAATGGTCCGCGATCGTACTCGATGTCATAGACTCGTGCGTCAGCGTGGAATTGCATTTCTATCCATTTCTTACTCTCATATTGTTCTTCATCGGAATAGGATTGAGATTGGTCGTCGTTCGACGCCTGTGGTGGACTTTCTTCAGACTCGAAATCAAACAGATCATTGTTTTTTGACACCTGACTTGTCGAAACCTGCGTGTCCTCCTTGTTTTCTGCGATCAGATTTTCTAGATCACGGTCGTACTGCTTGCTAGTAGTCTGAGGTACCGAACTAATACGAATGCTCTTACCCTCAGCATCGAACTCCTCTGCTTCACGACCGACTTCTTCAATCACTACGAAATCATCGATGATATCGGGTTTATCTACAAGTTCAAATGAATCGCTATCGGGTGAATGACGTTCAGACTTATCCTTTTCTATGTCTTTTTCTACAACGGTATCGAAGGACATCCCTGATGTCGAGGACAAAGACATGCTGGCCTGTTGCAGCATCGAATGGACGGATGTCGTTTGCATCGGTTCAAGAGTTTCGTCTCCAGGAATATCGAGACTCGATCTCTGTTCTAGACTTCCTGTCATTTCTACGTCCATTATCTCCATGTCTTTTTCTGTATCTCTTTCTGTTTCCAAATCTTCCACTTTTTCCTCCTCGAGCTCTTCACTATCACTGGGCATGGTCACTCGTGTCGAAATCACTTGCGTGCATACACTCTGAATTCCATCTTCGGACACTCGCGACGTCATTATGTCCACGGATTGAAGAGCCCCCGGTGCGTCCATAGATGCGGAAGTAGCTGAGTCTGCAACCTTGGCATGATCCTCTTCGAACACTTCGTCCATGGATTCCGTCTCTAGACTAACACTATCATCCAAAATCTGTTGAAAGATCATTTCAGATGAACGTTTCATGCGACACGGTATATGACTGTCAATCTTATCCATGGTATCGTCCATTGGTATTTCTTCGCTACCGGAAGAATCCGATGCTTCAGCCATCTCCTGCTCCGCGTCCAACGCACTTTCCAGGTTTTCATCTATTTCATCTGCATCTGCATCCGCTTCTTCGGAAGGTACTAGAGTCTCTGACAACTCACTGGTGCTATCAATACTGCCGAGATGACCCGAGCTCAGGGAATTCAAAGATTTCATGGATTCGTGGGAGCTTAACGTACTCGCCGCAGTCTGATACTCTTGCGACGTCGGTATTGTTTTCGATCCTTCGTGTTCGACCGACATCATCGCTGTCTCGTATTCCGAAGCGGTCCCGGATTGCACACCTGCGGCAGACTGTAGCGCTTCGACATCGGACGAACTAGGTCTGCTTCCACTACCAATCTCGTAATCGCAGGACTGATAGTTGCTGCTCTCGCCAGAACTTGAACCGACATCAGCTTCACTTTCCGAGGTTTTCACTTTCTTTGATAACCTAGCCGATTTCTGACGTCTCCTCGGTGCCGGTTGGGGCGGTGCCAAGGAATAACTATCGTCCCTATTATCCATGTCTGATCCAATGTCTGACGATCTACTGATAGGAAGCGGACTGGGACGACCTTCTTCATCTTCTTCCAGTTCATCTTGAATAGTTATTATGGGTTCTTCTTCTTCTTCTTCATGTTTTTCAATATCAATTTCAGGTGCTTTAACTATATCAGTTGGCTTGTCGTCGATGATGGCAGTTGCTTCAACAGTCGCTTTTTCATCGACAATGTCTTTTGTATCTTCGTATTTTGCTTCGTCAAGTTTTTGAATTTTCGCGAATGATAATTCGGTTTGCGTAGTAATTTCAGTCTCGGTTTCTGGTTCAGTCTCCACAGGAACGTGTTCAATGGACGGTGGTCTGTACAAAAACGGTAAGTCATTCGGGATGGATTCCGGTTGGAGTTTGAACTGAAACTCTGAGGGCGAATCTTTTATCTGAATTACAGTCTGACTGTTCTCACTCAACTCTTCAATCAAATCTTGCTTAGCTGCCTCTAAGGATTCCTTCACTTCAGCAATCTCTTTTTTCACTACTTGATCTAGCACTGTTATTGCGTATCGCGCACTCAGATCGACATTTTGGAGGTCGTCTTTTTTTATTTTCAAGGCACAAGTATCGGAAGAAGCAGTCGATTTGCTGGGTTTATCATGCTTCTCGATAGTCTTCTCCATATGTCGTTTGTATTCCTCGCTAGGAGGTTTGATCTTCGCTAGATAAGTCTCCGTCCATTCTTTTAGCACATCATCAACTCTTGCACACTTTGGTAATTCTAATCCTTCTCTTGTAGAATCCTTCTGAATTTCCTTAGTTTCTATAACTTCTTCTTTTGTAGCTTCTGATTCTTCTGTAGCTTTATCAGTATCTTCAAATTTTTCCTGTACTTGTATTTCCTCAGCTGCAATATGCTGAATAGATTCTTCTTTTTCTCCCTTCGTTGTAGATATTTTATCCGCAGAAATGTCTCTTTGAACAATTTTTCTACCCGTTTCTTGAGGTTTAATTTCTGCAATTTCAATAGGTAGAGCTTCCCCATTAAAATTTTTTGCTTCTTCTGTTTCCAGATCATCCTCACGGGGCATCGGTTGCCTTAGACTAGCATATTCTTGTGTCGGCGTTCTAGCATCGTGTTCTCGTCGCAAAGTATCAACCAATTCTTGACAAGTAACCTCCAATTTATTTTCTACTATATATTCGCTATCAAAGTCCTCAGTCACTGGAACTACGGTAAACTTTGTTGCCTTAGTTGTGGTAGTCGTAACAGTCACGTTGACATCACTAGCAACTGATTCTACCGATTCAACTACACTAATTTCTTCAGAGGATTTTGTTACGGATTCTTGTTCTATAGATTCGTCTTGCGAGGAAGTGCGAGCACGTTGTAGAGACGACTCATACTCCTCCAATTCCTGATTAAAAACTTGAGAAGGCTGTAGTGTTTCCGATATTTCGATTTTCTCGTCGCCGATCATCCAATCCACTGGTTTGATCTCTAGATCACGTACATGTTTAACTCTTGGTGAGACCAACGGCGGGCTTTCAATTTCAAAACTGTCCGTTCTTCGTCTATCCCCAGCATCATACTCCTTTGGTGAAGTCGAAGAGACATGCTCATGAATCGGAGAATAATCTGCATTAACGTCTTCAGACACTGTGCTAGAACTAACGGTCATATCTTTTTCTTGATCAATCCTCTCCAAAGAATCAACAGCCATGCTCTCGTGCAAGGATGGTACATCCCTACTAGTCTGTTCAGACACTTTATGCTCATCTAACTCCAAAGACGGTACATCGACCGAGTCCTGGCGACTGTCTATACCTGGCTCCAAAATTTCTAACACTCTAGCGCCCGAGATTTCCGATACTATCTTGTCTTTCACTAAACTAGTATCACCATACATGTCTTTTTGAAGCGGTTCAACTTGACCGCTTGATCTATCCGAACGAAATTTCTCGGAATGTGGACTAGATATAGGCTTAGATATGTCCTCCAATTCTCCAGTGTCAACATCGATCGTTTCTTCCAGATCAATCTGCTCAGATATACTGCTAGGACTTACAGTGATATCTCTATCTTGAAGCTTGGCTTGCGAAGATGATTGTAAGCTCTCTTCTCGGTCATGCAATGAAGATTCTTCATCTCTTGTTATATCCTCGCTTATGTCACTGTCTCTAGTGTCTCCTTTCTCAAATAATTCCTCTTGTATAGATGTTTTCGATAATTCTCCCGCAATCGGATGTTCTGCTTTGCTTTCCATCAATTCGTCCTTTTTTACAATGCTTTCAAATTTCTTTGTCAGATCGTCCGCCAATTTTTCGTGGTCAGTATCACTGCTTTCGGAGATTAATTGATCTAGATATTCTTTACTCAACATCTGGGGTTTCAATCCTGATGTCGATGATCTTCTCTCGATTTCACTCTCAATCGATTGTATCAGACCTTCCGCTATATTTCGCGCTTCGATTTCTTTGGCGACTAATTGTTCTTTTTTCTCTAAAGACATCGGAGCTTCTTTACTTACAAGTTGTTCATCTTTTTCACCCTTTTTGGTTGAATCCATTTTCTCTTTCTGGCTAGGTATAAATTGCTTAATTTTAAAACTGTCCGAGCTTTCTCTGTAAGATTGTCCTTGTGCAATCATTTCAACTTTTTCCAAGTCTATTTCTTCATCTTTAGCTGTTTTAGGTAATTCCTTAACATCTTCTACCTCTTTCGTATCGTCTTTCTTAATTCGAATTGCTACATCCACATCACTTTGTCTGTCTCTAGTAGTTCCTGATTTTTCCGTTGCGATTCCTTCACTATCCTCCAGCAGTTTAAATAATTCTTCCTTTTTACTTTCCGCTCTAGATTCAGAAGCACTTGCATCTATCACTTCCTTATCTTCCGTCACATTCATCGACATCTTCTGCATTGTGGTTTTATCCATCTCTTCGCTTTTACTTTTCTTCTCCTCTATTGTTTCAGCTGGTGATTCCTTAGTCAATTTAGACTCTGAAGACTTCTTCCGTTCCACTCTTTCCTTCTCTTCATGAGTTATAAATTTATCCGCACCGCTGGAGATCTCAGATGAAAGTATCTCCTTTTTTTCTACTTTAGTGGTAGCTTTGGTATCAACTTTCGAAGTGACTGTACCAAAATCCTTATCTTTCATTGTACTTATGTCTTCGAACATCTTGAATGCATCCTGCACGTCGGTAAAAGTTTTGGAAAAAGTCTGCGTCGTGCTTTTCGTAGTCGAGCGTTCCTCATGTCGCGAAGTGATTTCCTCGCTGGATTTCTTCTCAGTAACAGTGACGGTCTCACCGTCTTTTCGTCCCGATAAGTCCTTTTTCATCCCTTCCTTTTCTTTCATTGCCGCTCCTTCTGCAATACGTTTTGGTATACGAGATTCAAATTCTTTCTTCTTGCTGACTGGTGAAGCAGCATCCTTTTCCCTCTCCGCTATTGGAGAACTTTTTATCGATTTTTCCTCAGGTTTTTCTGGTAAAGTTTTGCCCTTTCCTTCTTTCTGGCTCTTATCCTTTTCAGCCATTGCCGTGGAAATCGGAATGCGAGATTCGAATTCTTTCTTCATCTGTTTAATATCTATGTCAGGAGTGAATTTCTTTTCTTTTTCAAGATTAATCTCGGTCATCTTCTTCTTTTCTTCCATTTCCACTTCGTCCTCGATTCGCTTCTCCTCCTCAAGAAATTGCTCGATTTCTTTTTGAACATCAGGAGGAAACGATTCAGCCTTAATCTCCGTCCGTAATCTCTCAACGTCGCCTATAGTTTGCACTTCGTAAGTTTCTGGTAAACCTTTTTCAAATATCTTTGTTTCTACGCTAACTTCCGGAACTTGTGTAACTGGTTTACCATTCGCACCTTCGATTTGTACCGACTTGTGAATCTGCTCTTGCACCAGAGTTCCGTCTTTTTGCATTTTATAAATAATCGTTGTTTCCTCCGTTATCATTCGTCTTCTAGCCGACTTCTCCTTGCTTAATGGTGTCTGTGGCCTTTCTTCTTCCACGATTTCTTGCACATCCGTTGATATATCAGGCTTCTTTTGTGTAGGGAGCTCTTCTGTAATCATATGTCTCACTTCTGTCTCCTCAGCGAGTTCCCTTTCCTTATTTAATAACTCTTTACAAATTTCCATCACTGGCTGAGCTATTATCTTCTGAACTTCTTCACGCACTTCTTTATCCTCGTCCGAACCTTTCTTCTTTTTATCTTTCGGTTCTTTCCATGTTTCCTTCCATTTATCATGTTCCATAGCAGCTTTTGCAATCTTATCTATCTCTCTCGCTTCCGCCACGTGTTTCTCTTCGATATCGATTTTTTCCTTTGTTATTTCCAGTACACTTTTTTCTACTCGACTCTTCTGATCTTCGATCGATTTGCCCTTGAAGAGAGGTTTGTCTTTCTCAGACTTGACAGAGTCTTGCTGGTGTACTCTTGGCGTGCCTTTCGCCATCTCTTTCTGTATCTGTTCTTCAAAGTAGTGTGCCTTCTCCGCCACTGAACATTCCGAGATGTCCGGTACGTTGATGTCCTCGATGGTTTCCGATCGTATGACGTCCGAAATACCCTCTGTGGTTCCATCACCCTCCTCGGACACGACATTCGGCTGGCACGACTCGCTGTCGCTCTCGTTAATCGTCACTTGAGAGGTTCTCGAAATCTCGGATTCAGAACGCTGGTAGCTTTCGCGCTTCTTCGAGATATCTTCCCAGAATTTACGCTTCTCCGAGTACGTTTGCCTTTCGAGATCGGGCGACAGATCCGGTTCCGATTGATCGGCGCCTACTTTATTAGGATAACTAGCATCTACGGATTCTAGGGGACAAGCCGCTTTTTGTGCAAAGGATTCGTGGATAGCGGCATCTAGAACAACCAAGAATTATGCTCACATTACTTTTTATTAAGCATGTCGTTATAATGACTGCAATACATCATATCAATTTCCTTTTACAATTATCCTTTTTTATTCACAGCGAGATCTGGCGATCGAGAACTTCCGTAGCGCAAAAATTCTTCATTCTTTTTTTTTTTCATTTTCTTTTCTTTTCTTTTCTACAGTCGTAGCAGGTACAAGATGTACTAGAGTCAAGATATATCGAAACCGCAAAATAAAACAGCACTAGTCCATTAATTCAAATGTTGTGAGCGTTTTTCTGTAAGTCTTATTAATGCTAATAAGATAAATTTTTTACGAATAATATAATCTTTTTTATTGGATAAATGTATTATCTCTTTTTTCCATAGTCTCTTAAAGGGAAAACGTAATAATAATTTATAATAATTTATTAATAATAATATAGGTTATATGAAAAAATGGACTTGTTCTGTTTTATATTTATAATTTTTAATTTATGTAAAGTATAACTTAACAAGTTTCGGAGATGTAACATGTAATATTATCGTAATGATTATTTATATTATAACTTTAAATTTATTATATGCATAATATAATTTGAATAATAATTGTAACTATATCCATCAAATATGTAATTCGCAAACACGAAATATTTGTTCTTGCACGTACAACGACTTGATTTTGAAAACAATATTATTGCCAAGAAAAGAAAACACTTATCCAGTTGTATTAATTATCTATGTACGTATTTACATATTATATCATATAATTATAATTGTATGTATGTATGTATGTATGTATGTGTATTTGTTTATCGGAAAATTTCTCTAGACTGCGGAGACATACTCTTTTGCATTAATATCCCATACGGTTGTCTATGATAATGTTGAGGACGGCAGTTCGGTCTGCAAGTATAACAAGTACACAAATATTGCGTTATTATCGGTTTCATAACGTGAACATAAAAATTAATTTGTCGATAATCGTTTTGACGCTCATCAGATTGTTATCAGATTTATAAATAACCAAACATAATCGCAATGTTTATCATATCATTATTATTATAAGCGGACTTCTTTGATCAACTAATACTATATTTCTTATAAATTGTTATTTCCTAGAAATTAATTACATTATATATTTTACTTTGCCTGAATTATCACGTTTGCCCCAATTAAAAATTTATTAAGTTTTAGGCACGGTGCAAAAAGAAAAACATAAGAATTTGTGACAAACTATATACTACAGTGCCTAAATTACCCAGAAAATAATATTTCATTTATATGCTCATTTTATATGATATATATTTATCCTAAAAATATTAAATTTAACAATAGAAATTTTATTTATATATTTTATTTTATTTATATATTTTATTTATATATTTTATTTATATATTTTATTTATATTTTATTTTGAAAGATTACTATTTTTCTTTATTTCCTTTCGTATTTCTTTGAAAGAAATATCTATCGCAAAAAAATATAAAAATTACTTTTTGGACAATTCTTGTAAGAAAGAAAAAAAAATAAACGAAGAACGTAATTTTAGGATTAATTTTAAAGGATTAATTTTAAAGGATTAATTTTAAAGGATTAATTTTAAAGGATTGTTTAACGCAAAAAACTATAATATTTAATATTCTGTTTCAAAATAATTTTTCGTTGTTTAACTTAACTATTAATTGTCGTGATTATTTTAAAATATTTTGACAATTATTCGATTATCCAGAATTATTATCCAGGATTGACAAAGATTCTAAAATTATACGTATCTTTTAAAAAACAACTCCTAATTGAAAATCAAAGTTCAAATCAAAGTTACTCGAATTCATAAGAGATGTTATGCAACTTGTAGCAGTTGTAAGTAGCATATCCCATTAAATAATTTCATGACTTTATCCGATCACCAGTCAATCAAAAGCTCCTTACTTCTGTTATTCATAATTACATTATCATATTCATTATACATAATCAAAGAGATCATGGAAATTACTTCTGGTCTTTATTCTAAAGACTATACTATTTCTCATGTCCCATATAGCTTCTTTAAATCCATTTTTTTCCTTTTTTTATTCTTATCTAAGATTTAATCGACATCTTCGATATCAGTATGACAATCGCTGATAGCTTCATCAGCGGTGTCTGGTACACATAGAGTATTTTCCATTTTATTAGTCATGACAACTTGCGATCCCGCCAGGATGTCGAAATCTTCATACACGTGATTATAAGCGGCCGCCTCATCCAGCTTAGTAATCTCGTCTTCGGATCCCTCCATATCCTCACTATCGGTGTTTGGAATATTCGGAATATTCTCGGTATCCTCCTTGTCAATAGAAATCTCCTCTCGCGACAATCGATTTCGTACCTCTACAGAAAATGGTCCATTGCCCTCCTTGGTCGTAATCATCTCTCCACCAAACTCGGTCAGAATATCCGATCTTGGTGTCACATAGATCGTAGGTTGAATGTCCTCGTCGTCCTCGATATCCTCTAAATCTGTCTCTCCTTGATAATCGTTATCGACCACATTTAAGGTATTACTTTCTTTTTCATCGTCGCTATAAATCTCATCAACATCGGTGAGATTTTCCGCAAAGCTGCCGCGTGATCGGGATCTAGCTTCACCGTCGGCTATAAGATAGTCCAGATTGACATTGACCTTAGACTCGGGCTCGATTATTTCCGCATTGGTCACAGAGATTAATGGATTTTCTTGCGAGGCTCGCGCGGAAAGTTTACCGATCTTATTGGTAATCATGATCAATTCGCCCTCGGAATCCGTGTCAGAGAAGTGCAAGGATGCGTTGCTCATCATAGCGTTCAAGCGTCTTCTAGCAGATTTGGATTTGCGCTTAACCTTTGTTCCGGATGAACTTTCCTTATCATTCGCTTGACTGTCCTTCTTCATAACGCCATTACACTCATCGATTTTCGTCGTCATGTCTGCTCGTTTGCTTATATATTTAACGTGCCGATTGTAAGTGCAAACTATTAATGAACTTAAAAATGAAACCTGAAACTGAAAGTAATAAGAAAAAAAAATTAACATTAAAAAACATAAAATAATATATTAAAATGATTATTCAAAGCATATTATTCAAAACACATGAGAAAACATAATTGAAGATTACAGTGCAAAAATAAAGTAAACTTATAATTTATAAGATCTATTTTAGATAAGAACTTTTAATAAGTTATAAATTTGTCTTGCCTCAAACCAATTTTTAATTTTAGTAAGACAAACGAATACAGAAGATTAATAAAAATAAACAACAAGACAAAATTGAAAGACTCACATTTTGATAATTGCGTATGAGTGCTTGAAAGAAAGACACCAAGAAAGAAAGAAATTTGTACCGTTTCTTTCGTCGACACGAATAAAACTAAAGAAGTCCGCCACCAGCACTTTCAAACATTTATTGATACTGTTACCTCTAATTAAATTAAAGAAGCCTCACCCAATTCTTAAACCGTAAGCCGATTATCTTTCTCTCCTTAAAATATAATAGAATGACAATCGAATTTCATCGTTACAAGTCAAGATGAAACGATATTCGACAAGAATTTTCTTTCAATTTTATTGAAGCATTTTCTTTTTTCCATGTTGCTTTGTTGTGCACTTTGCTTACGAACGACCTACATCGCCAGACCTTTCTCAATATTGCTTGATGGTACAATACAAAAATATCATGTAATAAAATATTCAACGACAACACTTAACACTTCATTACGCAAGTTCTCTTTTTGCACCTTGCATTTTTAGTGTTATAAATGAAACTAATTTTGAAATTAAAATTTTTTTAACTCGAATAACTTGATATTCGATTTATTTTCTTGAAATATTCACTAATATTTGATACTTGCAATGTATAAGTCATGGTCTTTCTATTTTCTACTCTTTTGATATCATACCTGTTTGTTCCTTTTGTAATGTATCGGTTATAAGTTTCTTTTCTGTTGGAGAGGAGATCTCTTTAGGCTTATCAGTTTTCTCCATTTGTTCCATTTTGTACTTTGATTTATAGTAATCTAGTTTTTGATTTATAATATTGGAATCTTCATAACCTGTAATAACATAGAAATTTATTAATAATAATTCATATATAAAATGTCGTCTATAATCCTTAAATCTTTATAATGTAATAGAATTACAAACTTCTTAATAAATCTTAATTTTATTTTGCAAAAATTATTTTTTCTTTTTTCTATATTAAAAATTTATGAGAAATAATAATAAGAGATAATAATGAGAAATAATGAGAAATAATATAATAAGTAAAAAATATTTATTATATTTTATTATAAAAGTTATTTAAGCAATTATTTATAGTCTATTTATAGTCTATAATCTTCTAAATTCAAATAAAATAGATCTTATTTGAGAGATTATACTTATTAAAAAGATTATACTAAAAATTAATATTATTATTTATAATTTATTTTATAATATATTTATAAAGTAAGAAAATAGAGAATTAGCATTAGGAATTTTATGTGCTTTATATTATTCTTTGCCCTACAATATTCATTGAACATACCTTTTAACTTCTTTTCTATATCTTGTTTAATAATAGTTTCGGGAAGGACAATATTTAACACACAAATAGGCTGCTGAGGTGGTTCTCCTTTAGCAACTTTTGGTTCTCGCATAAATAACATCCTCGCTACTGGATCCAATAACGGATCTTTTACTTTAACATGGAACGACAATCGATTCTGTCGGAAAGCCCTAAATGTGAATTTCAATTGCATACCGGATTTCGTTACTGGTACTAAATTTCCGCTAAATTCAATATAAAGATCTTTCCCATCGAGTGCCTATTAAATAAATTAAACAATAATTAAATTAAACTATGCTACATTAGTAATCAATAAAACATGTGTTATATTAACAATTTTTAAATAGTAATCTTATAATATAAAAATGTGTTGTTACCTAAAATAAACAAATATATCAACAATCAACAAATATTAATATATTTGTGCTGTATCCAAAATAAAAAAAAATTGTTTAAGAAGACTTATCTAAATCTTGTAAAAGTTATATATTTCACAAAATTAATTTTTGTTTAAAAAAACTTTAACAAACATAATTTAATAAATATTACGAAAATAAAACTACCTCAACATCACGACTTTTAACAATTTCCGTGAATTCTTCTTGTCTTTCCAAGGTGTGCATGCCTTCTTTACCATCAGTCATGCATAATATTCGCAATGTAGCTTCCAACACATCCATTCTTTTCGAATATATTATGAAGCTACATGAAGAAAAATTTCATATCAGCATGAAAATTAAAAATAATATTGTTATGTAATATATATATATATATATATGAGTAATAGAAAAGTCGCTCACTTTGTTATGTATGGCACATGTAAGGATGCCTCATACAACTCCGTTGCCATTTTAGGTACTGCGCCAATATTTCTGCAATCCATTAACCAGAACCTTGCTGAGACAGTGGTGGTGAACGATACTTTATCGTTCATGAAAGTTAATGGTGTTGATCCAGTGACATCTTCCCATTGTGACTCATTGGTTCCACCTAAAGTTAGTTAATTTTTACCATCTTAACGAAATTATTATAGAAACAAAAAATATATTTATATTTTAAAATGTAATTTAGTATTTTTTTTTCGAAAAAAAAAATTATATAGTTATAACATAGCTATATAATTATATTAATTTATTAAAATTAAACAGCAGAAACTTTTAAATTAAATTATTATTATTTGTATGACTGATAGTTTTATTTTTTGTAACTTAAATATTAGTAATATTTTTTTTCTTACTCAAAAGAATATGTTTTACATTAAAACGCAAAAAAAGTATCATAAAAATGTTTTTAAAATTAATTGTACGTGCATACACACATGTAAGCCTTGTTCTCTTGTTAATTATAAAAATAATTTTCTAGTAATAATCTTATTATCTTACTATCTTAATATTTAAATTTTTTTGTAATTATTAATAAATTTTAAACATAAATCATTTATCTTGCTTATTTGTTTAAAATTCTAAAACTGTAGATACCCGCGATGCTACACAAGAGGCGTAATGTTGGCGTCTCTCCACCATACTGATTGATCATCCCCTTGTTCGCAGCTTGTGGCACAGGGATCGTAAGGGTTATTGGTTTATGGAATTTTCGTCGTCTAGGTTCGATTGTGATCACCGGTGAGACGGCAACGCAATTGCCGAGCAGTTTGGCTGTGAGTTCAGTCGGAATAACATGCGCCTAAATGTAGATAAAAACATTATATTTTTCACAATCCTCTTACTTACAGTGTAGCTATTGAATTTAAAGATTAATCACCTGCAAGCCAACTTTAATTTTCTTTGTTAAGGCTCCTGGAGGGAAAACGGCCTGCACATGATTCGCTACGCTGGATAACAAAATGCAACCCTCGGCGCCGATAACATGAACCTCTTGTTTGATTCTGGTTACAATAGCGAAATATTGCGGGAAGTCTGTAGTGATTATGCGAGTAATTCTACCTGAGTGCGCGACACTCATCTGAGGATCTAAAAAAAAAAACGACGGCTTTATTTAATTTTAATTAAGAGCATGTAAAAAGCTCTTGAGATCTATCTTTTTGCAAAAATAAAAAGAGATCCTTCATTTATAAATAAATTTAATAATTAAAGAGATTAACAAAATATAACTAAAATTTATAATATTGTTATAATTGTTACAATTATAACTAGTACAAATAGAAATTAGTTATATTTTTGGCAATTTATTTGCACAAAATCATGATATAATACTAAAA